GTAAAATGTATCTTATCCGTCAACTGTGAAGCATTGTCACCAGATTCCCTGGACCATCCATGTATGCAAATAACTTGATAGATATTCTTTCAAAATAATATGTATCTGTTTATTCTGACACATATTGATCCCCTAAGTCAATGGCATCACCTGTCAATGATTTTAGAGGACACACAGTGTATAAATAAGACACCCATTTACTACCATGTGTAGATGCAACAGCTACAATGTGGGCACAATCAAAATGTGGATAAGTTCAGGACAAAGTACCCATGTTAACACCTGGTACAGTTGAAATCGGAAGTTTACATACACCTTAGCCAAATACATTTAAACTCAGTTTTTCACAATTCCTGACATTTAATCCTAGTAAAAATTCCCTGTTTTAGGTCAATTAGGATCACCACTTTATTTTAAGAATGTGAAATGTCAGAATTATACTAGAGAGAATGATTTATTTCAGCTTTTATTTCTTTCATCACATTCCCAGTGGGTCAGAAGTTTACATACACTCAATTAGTATTTGGTAGCATTGCCTTTAAATTGTTTAACTTGGGTCAAACGTTTTGGGTAGCCTTCCACAAGCTTCCCACAATAAGTTGGGTGAATTTTGGCCCATTCCTCCTGACAGAGCTGATGTAACTGAGTCAGGTTTGTAGGCCTCCTTGCTCGCACACGCTTTTTCAGTTTTGCCCACAAATGTTCTATATGATTGAGGTCAGGGCTTTGTGATGGCCACTCCAATACCTTGACTTTGTTGTCCTTAAGACCATTTTGCCACAATTTTGGAATTATGCTTGGGGTCATTGTCCATTTGGAAGACCCATTTGTGACGAAGCTTTAACTTCCTGACTGATGTCTTGAGATGTTGCTTCAATATATCCACATAATTTTCCTTCCTCATGATGCCATCTATTTTGTGAAGTGCACCAGTCCCTCCTGCAGCAAAGCACCCCCACAGCATGATGCTGCCACCCCCGTGCTTCACGGTTGGGATGGTGTTCTTCGGCTTGCAAGCAACCCCTTTTCCTCCAAACATAACGATGGTCATTATGGCCAAACAGTTCTATTTTTGTTTCATCAGACCAGAGGACATTTCTCCAAAAAGTACGATCTTTGTCCCCATGTGCAGTTGCAAACCGTAGTCTGGCTTTTTTATGGCTGTTTTGGAGCAGTGGCTTCTTCCTTGCTGAGCGGCCTTTCAGGTTATGTCGATATAGGACTCATTTTACTGTGGCTATAGATACTTTTGTACCTGTTTCCTCCAGCATCTTCACAAGGTCCTTTGCTGTTGTTCTGGGATTGATTTTGCATTTTTTGCACCAAAGTACGTTCATCTCTAGGCTCCTTCCTGAGCGGTATGACGGCTGCGTGGTCCCATGGTGTTATACTTGCGTACTATTGTTTGTACAGATGAACGTGGTACCTTCAGGCGTTTGGAAATTGCTCCCAAGGATGAACCAATGTTTTTCCTGAGGTCTTGGCTGATTTCTTTTGATTTTCCCATGATGTCAAGCAAAGAGGCACTGAGTTTGAAGATAGGCCTTGAAATACATCCACAGGTACACCTCCAAATGACTCAAATAATGTCAATTAGCCTATCAGAAGCTTCTAAAGCCATTACATAATTTTCTGGAATTTTCCAAGCTGTTTAAAGGCACAGTCAACTTAGTGTATGTAAACTTCTGACCCACTGGAATTGTGATACAGTGAATTATAAGTGAAATAATCTGTCTGTAAACAATTGTTGGAAAACTTACTTGTGTCATGCACAAAGTAGATGTCCTAACCGACTTGCCAAAACTATAGTTTGCTAACAAGAAATGTGTGGAGTGATTGAAAAACGAGTTTTAATGACTCCAACCTAAGTGTATGTAAACTTATGACTGCAACTGTATAAACAAAGCTTTTAAGAACTGACTGTGATTCGATCTTCTTGACCACCTCCAGAGGTTGTCAGGGGTGAATTGATTGGATGGAAGGTCAGTGGGCAAGGCTTAGAGTGACAGGGCAGTGGGTGGAGTTTACAGGTGAGAGTCAAATTCTAAGAGGCCTTACAGGTGGCAGTTTGGAGGTGGATGGAGGGTGTTATACATGGGTTGTGACCTGCAAGGTTTCTAGTTCAAATCCCATTTGCAACTTTTGTTTTCCAGCCTTACCCAACATTCTTAACTAATTACATTTCTAATCTACAAACTTTTTCAGTTGAACAGCTTTAAACATGTGGGAAAATGTAAGTGGTACCCTCCCCTTTCTTGGTACAGTGGAATAGGCATTAGGCTAGGGACTGGAAGGTCACAGGTTCTAATCTTGTGGATGCCCTTGTTAAAAAAAAAGGCATATTTAAAGCCCTTGCATTAAGATGTGGTTTTCATGATCTGATCAAGACGCTACAATCACTATCTGTTCTATTGAAATGCATTCCTGCGTTTGGCCTTAGTCATGCATGTTCCATAACAGTAACTTTCACATCTGTGCTTAGCTGCTTCCATTCCCTCCTTGTACTGATAATGGCTTGACATGACAGAATATCAGTTTTGGCCTTTATTTTAACAACCAAGTTAGTGTGCTGTTCTTACATATGCGTACAACTGCAGTCATGTTCATGAAACAATTGGTATGGAGACAATCACTAAAAAAAAGTTTAGCATAATATGTCTGGTTATGGAAAATATTTAGCACAGAGACAAATGCTTTGAGGTGGTGGCCCTCAAACACAAAACATTTTTTTTATTTTTTTTATTAAAATATTAAACCAAAGTACTCAAGGTTTTCATGGTGTATTTACATTAATCGAAAGACACACCTTGGTTTGGAAGCAATGCATCATGGGGTATGTCAAGCCGAGATTGACGGGAGATTTTGTTCTGGTTTCTAGCCACACAGTTTATCATCAGTGTATAAGTACACTCAAAGTACTTGTGCCTTTTTAGATTATAATTTATTTATATGTTGAATAACAGAGTGGTTATCAATGCTAAGAGGCAAAGAGACGTTTGACCCCATATTGAAGTCAAAATATATAAAAGGCATAAGGGGACAAACACAATACTTATAAAAGATAAAAGTTCCAATCTTTTCAAATATATACTGACCAAATATATAAAACACTGATTAAAATATATAATCTGTAATTAAAAGATAACATAAGGCCCACAAAATAAATAAACAATAAATAAATAAATAATATAAATACAAAACAAAAGTTGATAAATTTCAGATTGGGCCATCATTAGAAACTGTATAATTTAGGGGCAAAAAAAGCCTTCATACCATAATGTCATGCTAATGCTGGCAACAATCAGATTGTTTTGACTAGATTGTTTTGATGAAATTACCTTTCGGAAACACAATCTTAATGGTTTGGTTATGAAGCCCCAAAAGGGATCATGTTGTAAAGAAAACGTGTCTAGTTACCTATTCATTCTAGTGACAAAATATTGGTGACAGTCTTCAACAGGCCATGACTTCTCATTCAACCATATTTCATGTGGTTCATGTAGCATGACTCCTGAATGTATCCTTGGGATATAACATAAATATTATATAATAAAATAGGCTAATGTTGATAATATTACACAGATAACTTTACATACTAACACAAAGTCAGACGGCTGAAAACAAATATGCACTGTATGAACACAAAGGAACACTTTGGATAATGTAATATTTTACATGACTGTTTGGAAGGACAAAAAAGCAGAAGTTGACTAATGTACTAAAACAGAGTTGAAACAAATGAAAAGCCTCTCGATATCTACCTTATTTCAAAATGGTTCTTTATCTTTGATCCCCACAATGCATTACTTAGGAACCCACGGATGTGTTGTTGAAAGACTGAACACGTGAGCCATATATTCAATCATTCATTCAGTACATATCTCCACAATCGTTCATTTGGTACATATCTCCACAATTTGGACTTGCAAATCATGACATTGAGAGCAAGAATCTTAGAGTATTGCTTAACCAGAGATGACTAAATACATGAATTACTTCTCATCTGACCAATCTGGCTTTTGAAAATAATTTGTTCCATTATATGGAACGCAACACATAATGGAAAGGACAGATATATAGTGCATTCATTCAATAAATGGGATGAATGTATCACATGTCCCGAGACACTAAATCTAACAGTTTCCCAATTATCTGAAAATAATATCCAATCAACTTTCTTTACTTCATTCATGCTTCTAGTATCAATGTGTTGATACAAGTTCATCAGATTACACGTTCAACATTCTTCCTAGCTGGTTGCCTTGGTAAGCAATGTTCTATTATGATAGCTAACGGTCCAAGAAAAGCATTAAAAAAAACTTCAAATCAAATGTTATTTTACCATTTAAATCGACCAAAAAAGTGAGTGGGAAAATCTTGAAAACCTGTATAATATTTGGGTGTTGTGTTAGCTTGATAAACACAAAATACTTTGTTGTATGCACCTCTGTTAGTAGGTTAGGACTGCATTACTGTAAATGAGGAGAAAACGACATGCCTTTGAACACATAAGCAATACCACAGATTCAGTATTATACCATTGTATGGAGCTTCAGAAGCTTACAGTGAGTAGTTCATACAGGTAATTATAGTAAATGCATACTATAGTGCTGGTGGATATTTTTGTTTTCAAAGTAGAGTAGACATGTCAACAGGGAGATGAAAGTCCTGAATATATGGGCCAGAGGCATGCAGTTCCAATAAGCACACCAAACGGAAATTAAAAGGCACCATTGATATTTTTTCTATTGAAATACTGCGAACCATTGCTACATACTAGTTTATTCCACTTTCTTTCATGACATGAACACGTACACATTTTTTTATTTATAAAATACTTTATTCACTACTTCGCTAAAATACGTTTTTTAGTTATTTATATATTCTTTTTTTTATTATTTTCCCCGCAAATACTTTAATTTATAGAAAATAAAGGTTTAATAGTGACTTATTTCTTTTTGAATCTGACTGAAGTATTTTTCTAAGCTATATTTTTCATTTTATACAGCAACTGGATCTTGCTTGGAGATGACACTGGATAACCTGGCTTGCAGGTTGTCCTGTGGGGAGAGTCGGAGTGCTAGGTTAGTCCTGCTGCCATCTGCAAGAGGCTCCACACCTGTCGCCATGGGGTTCTGTAAGCTCAGGAAGGGTGTGTCCTCTCCCACACGCTCCTCCTCCTCCTCCTCCTCCATCTCGCTCTCCGTACTGCTACCTAGGTCGTTGGACTCCATTTTGTGGCCCGTTGCGTGGCCATTGGGCTTTGTTCTTTTGGCCCGGCGACCGTTGCTGTTCTTGGCGAGTTTCTTAGGAAGGCTCTGCGGGGGAATGGGCGTTACCGGGGCGGCGGCGCCGACCGCCTCATACTCCTGCGTGGTCTCATAGTCATCGTCCTCAACGATCCTCAGCGGGCTGGGCGGGGGGCTGTGGGCCTCATGGCCGTGGTTGTAGTGGGCAGAGTTCCTCTTAGACTGGTGGTCGGGGCGTGGCGGGGTGGTGAACAGCAGGGGGCGCTCCTCCTCGCCAGAGGGGCTGACGGCCACAGAGGGGACCGAGGCCAGGCTGGACAAGGGGGCCGACATCTCAGAGGGAGGGGAGCCCGGGGTCACGGGAGAGAGCAGCTCCACAGGAGACAGGTGGGTTGGGGTGGTCATCGCTGACACATACCTGACAGGCATAACCAAGAGAGAAGCCTCTATCAATTTGGAACATACAACTGAGAATACACAACTGTATTCACTAGTACACCACACCAGAATCAGTAATAAAGGACCCATTTTGTTAAAATGGCTTTAGCTCCACTAAATTCATGTTGCAGTCTGAGCTCTAGCTCATTACATGGATGCTTTTTAGCTAAATGAAATAAATCCGTAGCAATGGATTTTGTGTCCTATAGGTACGTACAGTCAAATTGTCAAGGCCACATCCGATGAGCGTAGGCTCCTTTAGAGTGCAGTGCAACTCACCGGTCTCAAATACTTTATTTTTTACTTCTCACCGGATATCTACATGGTCTGGTTCAGGATACACATTCATAATCCATTTCAAAAATCCGGTGTAGGACTGTATAGGCCTTTCTCCTAGTATGTGTGTGGAGGACAGAGACACTGATCTGAAGAGCACTGGACCATTAGGGTTGTCTCAGTCTGCCCCGGCCAGTCATTAGGGTTAGAGTCGTCTCTGTCTGCCCCAGCCAGTCATTAGGGTGAGAATTAGGGTTGTCTCCATCTACCCTGGCCAGTCATTAGGGTTGTCTGCCCCGGCCAGTCAGGGTTAGAGTTAAGGTTGTCTCCGTCTGCCCCAGCCAGTCATTAGGGTTAGTCGTCGTCTCTGTCTGCCCCGGCCAGTCATTAGGGTTAGAATTAGGGTTGTCTCCGTCTACCCCGGCCAGTTATTAGGGTTGTCTGTGTCTGCCCCAGCCAGTGATTAGGGTTAGAGTTAAGGTTGTCTCTGTCTGCCCCAGCCAGTCATTAGGGTTAGAGTTGTCTCCATCTGCCCCGGCCAGTCATTAGATTGATGTGCACAGATGGGTCCTCTCAGACTCAGTCGACCTGTGACCTTTGCTGCTCAGAGACAGGTGTGCTACCTGCTGTGGTTCCTGCAGCTCGACTCTGACAACACGGGTACACCTGCGCTCATTAGCAACACATTGATTTACTAATGGGGACTTATGAAGTCGTCATTGTCCATTAGCTTTGATCTAGGAGGGACTGTTTGTGAAGTCCAAATATAGGACAGCTCATAGGAAACCTCTACTAATAAAAAAACACTTTTCTTCAGAAGAAAGACCAAGATAACATGGCAATACCACAAATCTTGGATTCAATCTTGGTTTACTGTGTGTTCATAAATAAATGCCATAATTTCTAAAATGCATGCATGTTTTTCTCTAAAAATGATTACCAAGTATAATCGTTAAAATATAACTGATTCTTCAATGGATATCTCTGTACAACTCAGATCACTAGAAGTAGGGCACACCATCATTAATTACAAACCCTCCACTAGGTGTATAGGCTGAAGGGAGGTTGTAGTGTGTAGCGTAACGTAGCGTAGCGTAGCGTAGCAACATGAGCTCCAGATATCTTTCTCCTACCTCTCACTGTACGGAGAGTCCCTGTAGGAGTCTGGCGTGTCTCCAGAGTTCTTTAGGTAGGCACTCAGGTCTCTGGCGCCACCCGTGGCGTTCAGACGACCCCGGTGGCTGGGTGTGGCTTGCCGGCTGTTCTCTCCCGATGACATCACCAAGACAGAGCGGCTGTCGGAGAGGGCACTCTCGCTGCGGCCGTTACTCCAGCTGAAGAGAGAGAGAGAGCGAGACAGAGGAGAATGGAGCGGGGAGACAGAAGAGGTGAATTAATTGCTTCTCTTAAATGAGGGTAAAACACTAGCCTCTTCAGACAATGACGTAAGCTGTAAACACTGTGAATCATGTCTATTGCAGACCAGGGTTCAAATACTACTTGAAATCTTTTTAAATACTTCAGCTGGGCTTGTTTGAGCTTGCCTGGCTTAATAGACCAACGCTTACCCCACCCATCTGACACTTCAGGCAGGCTAGAGCGAAAGCACAAGGTATTTCAATGATTTCAAATAGATTTGAAACCAGGTCAGCTCTAGTCTAACCTTTAGGTAGAGACACTATACTATGGAGGACTATACAGCATCCACTTCTTCATAATGGATCTAGGATCCACAAGACACTTTGACCTGCACATTGCTCTTTGCTCTACAAGTTCTCTGGAAACCTCATAAATTCTCCCTGAACCTCGGTTGTCCCATTATAGCTAATGATGCACTACAATACATTGTCCCCTGCCGTTTTGTTTGTGCAGTCTGAGATCACAGAACTGCAGGCCCTGGATTCATAAAGTGTCTCAGAGTTCTGATCTAGGATCAGTTATTCCTTTTAAATCATAATGAATAAGGGGCGGAAGCCGTGGGACCTGATCCTAGATCAGCACTCCTACTCTGAAACGCTTTGTGAATACGGGCCCTGGTCTCTGTTGAATCCAGTGACTATCACTGAGTGAGCGAGGTGATTCACAGGCAATAGTGTAACAGGATGGGTGATCATCGTATCAACCGTCGACTGATCACAACGTGAATTAATAGCTTTTCAAAACTCCCGACATAAACAGAGGGAAAGAGGAAAAGCGGAGGTGGCTGGGGGGGGGGGGAAACAAGAGGGTCTCCGACTAAGATAGCGTAGAGGGCCCAGCGGTAATCTGTTCTGACAGTTGTGACACATTGGAGGAGATAAATAGGACTTTATCTTAGGCACATTATTATTACAGTATCTTCTTAGAGCCAGTGCTATAGCTCATCCCCTTTCTAAAAGTGGATGACTTTTACAGATGGAAGGAGAGGAGGAAGGAGAATATAGGGTTACCTTTGACTGGAGGTGTGGGTGACCGTTGTGGACTGATGTGCAGATGATGTGTACTGGTTCGTGGAAAAGGACGTTTCCGTTTCCTTCTCGATTACATGCTGCGCAGGCAATGCATTTTTAGACACAAATTGCTATAAGGGAAAACAATGAAATCAAGCGTCAATAATATGAAATCCCATCATGCATGCTTATATGAACTGTGCAGATACTGTAGCCAACAAATGTACAGTGCATTCGGAAAGTATTCAGACCCCTTGACTTTTTCCACACTTTGTTATGTTACAGCCTTATTCTAAAATTGATTCAATAAATTGTTTTCCTCAATCTACACACAATACCCCATAATGACAAAGTGAAAACTGGTTTTTCGAAATGTTAGCACATTTATTAAAAATTAAAAACAGAAATACCTTATTTACATAAGTATTCAGACCCTTTTGTATCAGACTCGAAATTGAGCTCAGGTCCATCTTGTTTCTATTGATCATCATTGAGCTGTTTCTACAACTTGGAGTCCACCTGTGGTAAATTCAATTGATTGGACATGATTTGGAAAGGCACACACCTGTCTATATAAGGTCCCACAGTTGACAGTGCATGTCAGAGTAAAAACCAAGCCATGAGGTCGAAGGAATTGTCCGTAGAGCTCAGAGACAGGATTGTGTCGAGGAACAGATCTGGGGAAGTGTACCAAAAAACTATGCAGCATTGAAGGTCCCCAAGAACACAGTGGCCTCCATTATTCTTAAATGGAAGAAGTTTGGAACCACCAAGACTCTTCCTAGAGCTGGCCGCCCGGCCAAACTGAGCAATCGGGGGAGAAGGGCCTAGGTCAGGGAGGTGACCAAGAACCCGATGGTCACTCTGACAGAGCTCCAGAGTTCCTCTGTGGAGATGGGAGAATCTTTCAGAAGGACAACCATCTCTGCAGCACTCCAACAATCAGGCCTTTATGGTAGAGTGGCCAGATGGAAGCCACTCCTCAGTAAAAGGCACATGACAGCACGCTTGGAGTTTGACAAAAGGCACCTAAATGACTCTCAGACCATGAGAAACAAGATTCTCTGGTCTGATGAAAGCAAGATTGAACTCTTTGGCCTGAATGCCAAGCGTCACATCTGGAGGAAATCTGGCACCATCCCTACGGTGAAGCATGGTGGCAGCGTCATGCTGAGGGGATGTTTTTCAGGGGCATGGACTGGGAGACTAGTCAGGTTCGAGGGAAAGATGAACGGAGCAAAGTACAGAGTGATCCTTGATGAAGACCTGCTCCAGAGCACTCAGGACCTCAGACTGGGGCGAAGGTTCACCTTCCAACAGGACAACAACCCTAAGCACACAGCCAAGACAATGCAGTCTCTGAATGTCCTTGAGTGCCCCAGCCAGAGTCCGGACTTGAACCTGATCGAACATCTCTGGAGAGACCTGAAAATAGCTGTGCAGCGACGCTCCCCATCCAACCTGATAGAGCTTGAGAGGATCTGCAGAGAAGAATGGGAGAAACTCCCCAAATACAGGTGTGCCAAGCTTGTAGCGTCATACCCAAGAAGACTGGAGGCTGTAATAGCTGCCAAAGGTACTTCAACAAAGTGCTGAGTAAAGGGTCTGAATACTTATGTAAATGCGATATTTCCGGGGGGTTTTTTAAATACATTTGCAAAAATGTCAAAAAAACCTGTTTTTGCTTTGTCATTATGGGGTATTGTGTGTAGATTGATTAGGAAAAACAAACAATTCAATCCATTTTAGAATAAGGCTGTAACGTAACAAAATGTGGAAAAAGTTAAGGGGTCTGAATACTTTCCAAATGCACTGTATGTATTGGAAAGTAAGCGTGAGAGGTTACTCTAGCGTAGTTCCCATTGTTAGAACTAATAGCTATGTGACTGACTTACATTGACAAGCTGGACGTTTTCAAGGGGAGTGTTATTAATCTGAGGGCCATTGGCCATACTGGCCCTGGTGTTTCTCTCATTTCGTAGGCTCTGCCTCAGACGATCATGGAGCTTTTTCCTCTGCTTTCTGTGCACGGAAAGACAAACTGCATCGTGAGACTGACCAGTCATATAGCCAATAACAAAAACAGAAGGATGACAGATTTTTGTCTGTTGACAGAGGTTGTGATTGACAATAAAATGATTAAAATGCTCAAATCTCTAGGCTATTATCTCAGGGAAGCTTCAAAATACGTATTAAGGACAAGGATACGTAATAGCAAATACTGATTGAGTTTAGCGTAAAAATTTTACTTGAATTACTTTGTTTTGCAGTAGGCAACCACACACATGATTCCAACCACTAGGAGTGCAATGCAGATCCCTGTTATTGTTAATACACGTTTCTGATACAGCTCCTCTGCTTCTGAAAAAGAGGACAATGCATTCTTAAAACTCCACAACATGCAGACCTATAGTGTGACATACAAACCAAACCCAAGGGAGACGAACAAACGTGTTTTAGGTTATATATTAAGGTTATACATTCACAGAAACAAACAAACCCGGGGCACGTTCAGCAGTACGCAATGTTTTGGAACGTTCAGATAGAAATATGTTTTGTAGAACAAACTACAATGCCTCTCATGTAGAATAAAGAATCACGTTGGCTCTATTCATGGCATTTCTATCTGCAATGTCCACCAACGTTGGTGTACTGAATGTGGCCCAGATGTGACATTGTATTAGTGGGCGTTGGTTGAAAACCGAGACGGTGGAAATCTAATATATTGATCCGAGGAGGCAGTTCTGTTGAGTCTGAGTCCAGTCGGAATGCGAGGAAGTGTTAGTTCAAGGTCGGGCTCAGTAATCATGACTAGGCAAACCACAGAAAATGCATTCTCCGCAATGTATTCTAACCAGCCCACATGTTACTAATACAACAGATGCATATATAAGATAGTCATTCATCAAGACAGTTAAAATCCCTCCCATGTAAAATGTTAATATGCTAATATTGCAAACAGTGCAGCATTGTTTGTTCACAGGACCCAACGCTTGGAATTATGGAATATTTGCGTTTCAATCTTTTCACAGGTATGAGGTTACAGGTTACCAGATTAGGGGATCAAGTGAAAGTTACACTGAACTAAAATATAAACGCAACATGAAAAGTGTTGGTTCCATGAAACATGCGGAAATAAAAGATCCCAGAAATGTTCCATATGCACAAAAAGCTTATTTATCTAAAATGTTGTGCACAAATTTGTTTACATCCCTGTTAGTGAGCATTTCTCCTTTGCCAAGATAATCCATCCACCTGACAGGTGTGGCGTATCAAGAAGCTGATTAAACAGCAGGATCATGGGGCCTCCCGAGTGGCGCAGCGGTCTAAGGCGTCACTACAGACCCGGGTTCGATCCCAGGCTGTGTCACAACCGGCTGTGACCGGGAGTCCCATAGTGCGGCACACAATTGGCCCAGCATCGTCCGGATTAGGGGAGGGTTTGGCCGGGACATGGAGGGGGGGCCTTTGTTGCAAGTTGTGTTTATATTTCTGTTCAGTATATAGTTATCTGAACTGTTCCATTATCGCACCTAGTTCGTACTCTACTCCTATTTTTAAAGATTGGTCGGTTCGCCAACGTATTAGGTGTCCTGTGAACAAAGGATGCTACAAACAATCAGTCTTTTAAATGAAAAACAATCATTTGTCAATTGTTCAGAGTTAGCATCAACATCATTTAAAAAAGACACACAGCAAAAACTGCCATCACTGATGAGACAAGGAGAGGAACCATGAGATGACAAGAGCACAAAGGGGACACAGCTGGGGGACGGACACATACATACATCCACATGGTACAGTAGGAAATAGGAAGACCGGAAGGAAGGAGATGAAATGAAATGGTAGCAAGGGAGGACGCCGTCAGTGTATTTGACATGACATGCTAAACACGGGGTGGAACAGAGGAGGTGTTAGGGTAAAGGCAAAAGCAAGATCTGAAGGGATCTGATCATACAGAATAACCACACTGCAGCCTCTATGGGCACCTGGTTTATATCATGTGTGAGAGAGATACAGTGTACTGTAGCTCAGACGCTTGTATGAGTAATGTGAGTTTATGGTGGTCATTGTAGGACTTAATTTGCGTGGTGGTGATTTTAGGACCTACTTGTGTGCGGGTTAATTTGACTATACGCTATCACATTGAGGTTTTCCCAAAAAAGTATAATTGAAGGTGTCATTAGCATATTTGAGCTACATTTTCAATGTGTACGTGTGTTTATTATTCTGTAACAAATATGGTATGTTATGCCTGTATGATCCCTTCATTGGCACAAGAAAACTGTCTGGAGTTGAGGGGAGGTGGGGGGGGGGGGGCAGGCTCAAGCTTCTAATCCTACATTTGCAAACTAAGGAGGAAGGAACGATCCATACCCATAAATTCAATCCCAAGATGTTCTGCCAATGCAGAACGGTCACAAAAAGAAAAGAGAAGAGGTATTTTTCAGATGAGGTGTTATTCAGAACTATATTGCTCATCAAATGGCTAATCAGTGTTTCTACAGAGAATGGAATGTGGAGATCAAACTGGTGTATGATGTATAATAACCAACTCTTTCACCATGTAGAATAATTCTATAATCATTTTAGAGGAAACGTACAGTATGATCATCATTGATGTAAATGTAATGTTATAGAAGAATCCAGAAACTATTTGGGGGGTGATTTTCACTTGGTAATTTTTCACTTGAACTTTGTTAATGTTTTATCGCTGCCCTGACACTCCAGAACGAGCCTAAGGAAGTCAATCGCTGGTGGGGTAAGTTTGTCAAAACCAAGTGGAAATCGCCCAAAAAAAGTGTCTGGACACTTCTATAAAATACCATTTACATAAAAAAATTGATTTCGTTTAATAAACAGTGAACTTGTCCTTTATGGAGAAAAGGCTTAATTGTACAGTACTTCTATTTAAAATATCTTATTTGTGATTATCCATTCTATTAGACTCTTATAGGTCACTAAGTTTTACGATGATTTTACCACAACTACGAAAAGTGATCAAAAACCAAAATCCATTGAATACGAGTTCATCAAAAATGCATTAAAATGTATCCATCTGCTAATCGCTAAGGTGAGAGGTACTTTCTCAGTACAGTGGCATGCGCATGCAAAAATCTCTTTGCTTGCATTATCAATGGTAATGTCACTACACGTCAATTAGGCAGGTTTAGGGGCACTAGTTAGGGTACTTGTCGTTCACCGGTAAACACTACCTCATGCTGTGTGAGGGCCATGCACTGTTTCCATTCCCAATAGACACCAATGCAGATCTACAAAGTCGATATTGCAGTCATACCAAATTCTCATTTGTCATTACTCAGATCAACAGCCATGCCTGTTAAATATGTTTTGAGGAATAAACAAAAAAAAAGAAAATTGTAAACGTAATACTACATAACATATCCTAGTGACTAACATCAAATACAACACTTTGGTATAGAAAGGAGCAGAGTTAGCTTTCAACTGTTTAACTGGACAGTGGCTCAACAGGAGGAGAAGCCATGGTTAAAATGGTTGTGCCTTTAGCTAGCTTTATCCACTGACTTGAACACCCTTGATGTAAAGGACGAGGATCTATTATTAGTTGTTATGGTTTACAAACTACACCCAATATCACTGTTACTGTGACTTACTTCACTGTTACTGTGACTTACTTCACTGTTACTGTGACTTACTTCACTGTTACTGTGACTTACTTCACTGTTACTGTGACTTACTTCACTGTTACTGTGACATACTTCACTGTTACTGTGACATACTTCACTGTTACTGTGACTTACTTCACTGTTACTGTGACTTACTTCACTGTTACTGTGACATACTTCACTGTTACTGTGACATACTTCACTGTTACTGTGACATACTTCACTGTTACTGTGACTTACTTCACTGTTACTGTGACATACTTCACTGTTACTGTGACATACTTCACTGTTACTGTGACATACTTCACTGTGACATACTTCACTGTTACTGCGACATACTTCACTGTTACTGTGACTTACTTCCTGTGACATACTTCACTGTTACTGTGACATACTTCACAGTTACTGTGACATACTTCACTGTTACTGTGACATACTTCACTGTTACATACTTCACTGTTACTGTGACATACTTCACTGTTACTGTGACATACTTCACTGTTACTGTGACATACTTCCTGTGACATACTTCACTGTTACTGTGACATACTTCACTGTTACTGTGACATACTTCACTGTTACATACTTCACTGTTACTGTTACATACTTCACTGTTACTGTGACATACTTCACTGTTACTGTGACATACTTCCTGTGACATACTTCCTATTCTTTCTTTGACAATTGGCTACAATTATCTTAACATACCGTTATTTTGGTTAATAGCGGTGTTATCGAAGGAGCTACAATTTCATTATAAACTTGTGTATAAACTGATAAACTGACGTAGTATAGGAAGATAATGCATATTTATTATTGAGTAATTCTGACATATTCAAAGGTCTTGTTTGTCTTTAAAAATGATGCAAAACATGAACAACGTGATGACTGGTCTGCATGTGAGCAGCGTCCCTTCTTGTCATGTTGGCTCTATTGATTGTGTTTGACTTGTGAACCTTCAGCTTAGATGCTTCAAGGCACCTTTCATATGACTGGCCCAGTATCACTGCTCTGAAAAATGTATTACAGTTCTGCCGATACTTCACTTTAGCCTGGGTTATAAATGGGATTAGATATAGTTGCATTATGCTTATGTGACAAAACATGGTCATATTAGGCTAAATATTGTCATAATAATCAGGCAGTAGGTTACAAGTATGTTCCGTGGTAACCTACGCATGTTCTTTACTTAAACATTGTGAGTGACAACAATAACAACCACTATGTTTTCAATTCAATTAATCATTTCGTTGTTTACCAACATCAAAGTCCTGCTTTCACCATAGTATGACCGCTGACTGAGTTGCATAGGGTCTGTAACTTTCCCTGTAAGGTCATGGGGTAACCGTCACTCCTCAGGAGAGTACAGAGTTCTATTAATATCAACAACACCCTCAACTACTCTCGCTGGGTCAATCAAGGACTAGTCAAATACGAGGCAAAAGACTCTTCCCCAAAGACTACTCTAAACAGACCCTAACTGGGGGCCACAAATGCCTCCATTTTCAGTAGCGTGCCCCCGTCCCACAGCAGACCTTGTCAGGAGGCGAGGGGTAAATAAATAATAGCGGTCTCAGCTCGTCTGAACTGCTGACGAGGCCGTCTTCACATCTGTCCTCTCCGACCTCGGCTGCGTTCCCACAGCGAACGTAAAAAAAAAAAACACGGACTGTTTTGGCAACAGCCATAAGGAGACATTAAAGTATTAATGTTAAATATTATATTAAAGCCCCCGCCCACACATTTGGAGAATACTTCCTGATCGTCAAGGATAGAGCTTCCTTTCTCGGCTTATACTACACACCCAGCATCCCTCCTCTTCCTCTGCAGCAATAAGGGTCTCCTGTTGCATTGCTGGCAGCGTGCCACCCCTGTAGCTGCAGACAGGCCGTTTGTCCCTGGCTAGATAAAAGCCACCGACTGGGAAGAGCAGGAGGAGTGGCCTACAACGATGAAACGAACAGATAGCGACAGCAGCATTCTTTTAATTAGCTCCTCCAATACGCTAGCTGATATCTCAGGGAGACCCAAAATATCTCCCTCTGTTCCTCCACGCTCCGAGTTAAAATTACATCTCAATGGGCAGATCTTTTTCGTTCCGCCTCGGAGATGAAAGCATGGTTGTTTGCTGTTTTGCCAGGTAACCTATGGTAATTGAGGTAACTGGACTGTAAGGTGAGTGGGTGAGTCAGAGTGATAAAGTGCACTGGGGCCCAGTTCCTGGGAAGCTGCCATTCATCTCCCTCTTGGCCTCTCCATGACATCAAAGAGGTCTCTTTAACAGGGTCTGTTCAGTTCTTTACAGTGCCTCCATAATCCACAATGACCCCCACACACCTCCCATAAGTGTTATTGCTCTTCAGGGAAGAAAATATATTGCTGTGTTAAAGATCAACTCAAACTTGAGATCTTATTTAGGTTGGTCCCTGTCACAGGTGGTGAGTATCAATACAGAACTGTTTTAGTATTGCAAACTCCACTACTGTCCCCTGCCTCATATTTGAAGGTCCCAGTTTGGAAAGTTGAATATACAGTTTGAGTTTCACTTTCTTTCTGCTATTATTGTGAGTGACATAACGAACACAACATCAGTTAACTATAACGCTTCAAACTGTTTCAAATGACATCCAAGTCAACAAAACAAGGCAAAAACCTCTTAACATGCAGGTAATGGGATACATACAACGTAATAAAAACACAAACACCTAAAAGTCTGTCTAAGAACCTGAGAGGAAAATGAAGCAACAGGAAGTAGCGCTGATTGAGCATGCTCCAATCAAAAGCACAGACAGGAAGAGGAGATAGACGTACTGTAGAAACTGGCCATTACGTAGTTTTGGCAGCGATCACCAGTAAATTCATTTGGACACCTGAGAGGGAAACAAAAGAATGACAGACAGAAGAGAAGAGAAGAAGAGAAGATGAGTTTACACCAGATCTACCGAAGACCCACGCGCATCGCTGGTGTTGTCAAGAGGACCGATATGTCTCGCAAACATCGCCATCAGTCATGTTTGCGAAAACATATGTACTTGAGAGAAAAGCCCCAATCAATGTCTTGTTCAACAGGCCTCGAATTTCAGCAAATGTTTAGCTCGTGCATTCTGATTCCAGGGAGATTGAATGAATTAGAATTAGCTGTGGACACAATGCCCGGATATTTCGATCGATTTAGAAAGGCGTCAGCACACAAGCAGATGAGAATTTGAGTCAGGATGAGTGTGTGTGTGTGTCTATTAGTAATCTGGAGGCCTCTCCACTCCACACACACACCTGTCCAAAACGAATCATTGGGACGGATGGATTGGCCGTTTGGCTCTGGGAGGGACAGTGATTGGAACTTTGGAACAGGGATGAAACACCAGAGATGACACGTGTGGCTGGGTTCACTTGAATGCACATACGTTTTGTGTTTATGACTCTCACAGGCACAGTGGCTTGACATCGATTCCCAGTGTATCCCGTTATGCACCTGGGGGGGCAGAGAGGGAGTGAGACGCACAACACAGCACTGACACAGTACACAGATGTAACATGTAACACACACAAAAACAATGCATGGAATCCAACAGTTCCCATCCAGCACTTCCATTGACTTACCTTTTCATATTTCGTCTACTTTCGCCTATACATTTAAACGTTGGTCATTTAGCAGACGCTCTTATCCAGAGCCACTAACAGGAACAATTACGGTCAAGGGCCTTGCTCAAGTGCACAGACAGATTTTTCTCCTAGTCGCCTCTGGGATTGGAACCAGTGAACTTTCGGTTACTGGCCCAACGCTCTTAACCGCTAGGCTACCTGCCGCCCCCCAATATAGAGTGCAAAACGCTACAAAACATAGTAGCTATGGCACTTTAGTGTCTCAGATTCACCCTTTGGTGTTAGGTTAGATGACTAAGACACCAATGAGAGTAAACCACTACAGAGCAGAGGTATCAATAAGATACCTCACTGTGTAACGTCTACCAGTCTACCAAGTGGTGGCACATGAACAAATTAAGCCTTTCAATACAATCACTAGAGACTTTGCTAATTTTGTGTAACATCCTGTCCAATGCTCAGTTTGTGTACTGCAAACTGAGCATGGGGGGGCGAACACTGGTCGATCCTGACCGGAGGCTTTTCAGCTGGCCATCTGGTGACTGATGACAGAGCAGGAGGCTGAGTAAAGCCCTGCTAAAGAAGAGATTGTGGCGTGAGATGCAGAGAGAGAGGGACTCCAACAAGCCAGTCCAGCTGTGCCTCAGTTCTTACAGGGTCTCAGCAGCTGGCTGCTGGGCAAGCCCTTTCTCTCAGAAACACAGACGGAGAGAGACAGAGAGAGAGAGAGAGACAGAGACAGAGAGAGAGAGAGAGAGACAGAGAGAGAGAGAGAGAGACAGACAGACAGAGAGAGAGAGAGAAAGAAAGAGAGACAGAGAGAGAGATTAAAATCTCTCTGAATATTGTGTGGCATGTCTCCCAAAGGCACTTGAATGGGACTCCTGAATGAGCAGCAAGATAATCAGTCTCCCCGGTGGAAATCTATACTGAACAAAAATATAAACGCAACATGTAAAGTGTTGGTCCCATGTTTCATGAGTTGAAATACAATATCCCAGAAATGTTCCATATGCACAAAACGCTTATATCTCTCAAATTCTGTGCACATATTTGTTTACATCCCTGTTAGTGATCATTTCTCCTTTGCCAAGATAATATATCTACCTGACAGGTGTGGCATATCAATAAGTTGATTAAACAGGGTGATCATTATACAGGTGCACCTTGTGCTGGGGACAATAAAAGGCCACTCTAAAATGTGCAGTTTTGTCACACAACACAATGCCACAGATGTCTCCAGTTTTGAGGGAGCGTGCAATTGGCATGCTGACTGCAGGAATGTCCACCAGAGCTGTTGCCAGAGAATTGAATGATCATTTCTCTACCATAAACTGCCTCCAACGTCATTTTAGAGAATTTGGACAGTACGTCCAACAGGCCTCACAACCGCAGACCACGTGTAACCACGCCAGCCCAGGACCTCCACATCCGGCTTCTTCACCTGCAGGATCGTCTGAGACCAGCCACCCGGACAGCTGATGAAACTGAGGAGTATTTCTGTCAGTAATGAAGCCCTTTTGTGGGTAAAAACTCATTCTGATTGGCTGCCCAGTGGGTGGGCCTATGCCCTCCCAGGCCCACCCATGGCTGCGCCCCTGCCCAGTCATTTAATATCCATATATTAGGGTCTAATGAATTTATTTCAATTGACTGATTTCCTTATATGAACTGTAACTCAGTAAAATCGTTGAAATTGTCGCATGTTACGTTTATATTTTTGTTCAGTATAGTTCGATAATGTTATGGGAGATTTTGACAAGGCCAGCCCATGACAACGGCATCATGAGGATGTTATTGGAATTGAATGCCGTTTCAAAAAAGACCATGGTTAAAGACACATTCATGTTGGCTATTTCTATATAATTTGCTATAAATAATGGAGGAGGGGATTAGGATGTAGAGCGCTGCTTCCATGATGTTCTGACCCTTCCACGCTGTGTGCCTGTTAGAGAATCCCTACTCCGACTGTTCAGGCTTCAGCGAATCGGGCTCCCCGGGGACCCCTGGCAGACAGGTTATTTCCGCAGATAGAGTTATTTCTAAGGATCCATAACGTCCGAAAAGGAGGAAAGACAGACAGGTTTTTTCCTCCCCTTCCCTCCAGTGGCAGCGTTCTGCATGGCTTACTGAAAGGAAACAAAAGCCGTTGGAGACAGCAGCATTTTTTTTGTGCTTAGTCACTGAAGTATTTAAGAGGAAACTCAATCTGGTGGTGGATGGTAAGAGTCTTTCTTAAGTATTGGATGGCCCAGAGCCAAAGTGTATCCTTGGCAATGTCAAGCCTTGTGTCAGGCACTTAGAGAGAGGAGCTGCAGTGATATTTCCCTTGTCATGCATTTGCTGCTGTAAGGGAAGTGATAAAACCATGAGGTGTAACGAGTAGGGCCACAGTTGAAAGACACTATGCAGCATCACCATCTCAGCATGTCTTTTGAAAACCACTGGATGTTCTAACCATAAATGTAAAGACGTAAAATACAAATTGGGAGATGCTGTTGATAAAAATGGTCATGCAGAGTGGACAACCTCTGAGCGTTCTTAAGGGGCCACCCACTTTGCTAGAAGGGACGTCAGACCAGTGTACTTCAATGCCTTCGTGTTCAATTTGTCAATTTGTATGGATAATACATGATTTTACCTCAGATAGATTTAATATGAATGACGATGATGGAGAATGTGGACAGGACTGCAGAGAGGTGGTTCTCTTGTAAAAAAAACCCGAATGTCTGCGATGTATGCCGTTGCCTCTCATACCGAGCGTGTAAAGTGCATGGCACAAGGCCAACTTTTGCTGCTCGGGATGATTCAAGGGCCTTGAGCTGAGCTCTGTTGAGGCCACCAAGCTCTCGGAGACTGTCAGTCTGATGCTGAAGCCACAGGGGGGTAGTCTTCTAGCACTGAGAAAGCTGCTTTGATCTCTCGTCGGCTCTATCGCTCAGATCAGGGCTGAACTACACCCTTGACAACAAGAGCGCTATGCTGGAGAATAAATCAATGTTCTGCTGTAAGGACACGGTTGAAGCTGACAGAAGCATAATGTCAGCACAGGTCATGTTCAGTAAGGCACTCAAAGGAAAAAGTTTCAAAACGTCTCGTAACAGAAAACTGAAATGAGTGTATCTTATTGGACAAGTACAAGTAGTCCCTCGCGGTTTTAGTCAGTTTTGTTCCGTTTGATGCCTGATGAACATGACCCAGGTCTAAGCGCTCGGGTTCCAATGAGAACAAGAAAATGGAGAAGAAGAAGATGGAAAGAAAAATCTCATAAATACAACATAGCTTCCGAACTGGAGCGTGGCGATTGGGCGATGACAGGAGCCGACATTAATCATGTACACATGCAGAGTAGTCTGTGGATCGTCCCAGGACCTCCACCTGTTCCGCTCGCTCAGCTCTCGGCGTCGCTCAGCTCTCGGCGTCGCTCAGCCCAGCTAGCGTCACGCAAAGCATGACATCCATCCAGCTATCCCTACAGCCGCCCAAAAAGCCCCATCAAAGCGCAGAGGCCTTCAGTACATCTGTACACCGATGCCTCGTGTACGCCTCTGTTAATCTCTGCTCAGGTCTTTGTTTAATGATTGACCCCAAAACTAGTGCTGAGCGATTAACCAAATATTTAGATGTTTTTTCTGGTTATTAAACAACTAATTGACCGACGTCGGTTTAATTAATTGAATTCCATTTAGTACGTTATTTTGGGGAACTTAATGCGCCGTTTCTCTAGAGAGAAATCAAATCATTCACGAGAGAAATTAAGTAAAGAACTGCTTGACAAGGGCTTCCCGAGTGGCGAAGTGGTCTAAGGCACTGCATCACGGTGCTTGAGGCGTCACTACAGACCCGGGTTCGATCCCAGGCTGTGTCACAGCCGGCCGTGACAGGGAGACCCATGGCCCAGCGTCGTCCAGGTTAGGGGAGGGTTTGGCCGGCAGGGATTTCCTTGTCCCATAGAGACTACTTGAGGCAGGCCGGGCGCCTGCAAGCTGACTTTGGTCGCCAGCTGGACAGTGTTTCCTCCGACACATTGGTGTGGCTGGCTTCCGGGTTAGGCGAGCAGTGTGTCAAGAAGCAGTGCGGCTTGGCAGGGTCGTGTTTCGGAGGACGCATGGCTCTCGACCTTAGCCTCTCCCGAGTCCATAGGGGAGTTGCAGCGATGGGACAAGACTGTAACTACCAATTGGATATGACGAAAATGGGGTAAAAATCTCAAAAAATGGGGAAAACACTCAAAAATATAAATATGAGGGACCATAAACCATTGCACCTGAGGGAAGCTCTAAAATAATTTGAATGTCATTATTTCAATGTAAAAAAAAAATGAAATAGAAAACCTTGATTATTTTTTAAAATAATCTAACCAAAACAACCTTAAAAATCACTAAATCGCTCAGCACCTTCCAAAAAAATTAAGCCGACACCTTGGCTTTGCTGTAAAAAGACCTGCCAACTTTCCTCCGATTTCCCGATGAAGACGAGGCAGTGTTTGATGTTGCCAGGTTCCGTTTTCCGCCACAGAGCTGGTACAGCTTGGCGCCTCAGGGACCTAAATGCCACCACATCTCTGGTGCCTATCATATCATTTTACATTTTAGTCATTTAGCAGACGCTCTTATCCAGAGCGACTTACAGTTAGTGAGTGCATACATTTTCATACTGGCCCCCCGTGGGAAACGAACCCACAACCCTGGCATTGCAAGCGCCATGCTCTACCAACTGAGCTACAGGGGACCTGTATCAGGCCTAAATGGCACCACATCTCTGGTGCCTATCATATCAGGTATAAATGGGTCTTGACAACACAGCATTCTCACTTCAAAAATAAATATTAAATAGATATGAAATGTTATGCCAGCATCTACCGTACTAAAACAGTATAGTAGCGTTCTGAAGTCGGCACTGGCAAACTTCTAGAATGATCCAACGTGGGAGCACAGTTAAATATAAAGAAGTAGCAGCAATAAGCCATCAGGAATTGTATCAAACATCAAGTCAAACATTGTCAGCATACTATTTATTGTGTGGTGTGGATGCTGTGTTTGACGAATTATGCGGAAGCACTGTCAGTCTGTTTAAATATGAGGAAAAAGCAGCTATAAGCCATCAGAAATTGTATCAGTTAAAACTAAGTCAAAAACAGACAGCACAGTATCCAGTGGGTGGTGTTGGTGGAAATGGTATCGTGTTTCATCATGTTCTACCTGCAGAGGAACTTGGTGCTGCCGGGGGTGACCTCCAGGGTGAAGCAATCCCCTCCGTTCACGCAGTAGTTCTTCTCGCTGTCGCTGCAGGCCGTCATATGGCTGGAGGTCTTCGCTGCAGGGGTGGTGCTGGTGGCAGCTGTAGGAAAATACCAGGGGGTGATTAGCGGGAGAGGAAATGGACCTAGGCATCCTAGTGGAGCCCTGGGGGGTGTTCAGCTGAACACTAGCGCTTAGCACAAAGCCACTATGGTCTCTCTGTGTGCTCGGAGTACCGTGATTTATACCCGTGCCCTTCGTTACAGCGGAATACAAAATGACTGGGAAGATAATGGTAAGAGATATAGTAAATCAAACCTTCGAAACACACGCAGCCAGGATGTGCTTATTGACTACAGCTAGAATATATCTGCAAAACACTCTATCACACATACACCTTTATAACAAAGTTGTACATATTAACACAAATCTTTACAAAACACACCTATTTCGGTAGAGTGATCATTTCAACAACTCAAATATGAATGTGCTATTCCAGAGCCCAATAGTGGGAGACAAGTCCCGAAGCAATAATGTAAGACATTAAATCCCACTAGCATAAACTTTCTATAAAGTTGAAAAATGCAACAATAAAACAGAGACACTAAAAGCAGTGATAAAACTCCAACATTAATAAGACATCTCTGAATAAAAGCTATCAAGAGAAAAAGCCTACCCCAAGATCGCATGACTTGCTTTCTATCTAATTACTTTAAACCTAATTACATTCACCTATAATTTCCAAAAGTTCAAAATGCATTTCAGAATGGTAATCCTATCTTCAATAAACAAGCATTCAAGTTAGAGCAACCTGAGCTCACCTGTGATGTTTCTGAAAAGTCTCGAAATGTGGAGACTCATTTCTCCTCTTCTGCCCATTGGAGCAGCTCTGACCAGTGCCGTCCCAGTAGATCAATAGGTTGGATTTCTAAGCAGTGTGTCTGCTTGAGGTCTCTAATGCCTCTCCCCACTACCGGTCCTCACCAGGCTGCACTGCTTTAAAGCCCCATAAGCATTTTAAATAAGCACTTTCCTCCCCCCTTACCCTCCGTCTCATCCGGATGTCACTTCTGGCATCGGAAGTCTTTACGCATCGGAAATGCAACAGACGCAACTCCCCGGCCGAAAAGATGTCAGAGCTCAATGACAGGGGGGTGGAATGAGTTCTCGCCTCTCGCGAAACAAATATGCAAAGCGTAATCAAGACACCTGTCAGAGCGAGATTGTGTTTGTGACAAACAGGCATACTTCCTGGCTCTCGTCAGCCTGACGGTGAGTAGGGTTAAAAAAACGTCCCTGTCTCGGGCCGTGAATCACCAGCCGGGCCGTCTCCGTCTCAGAGCCTGTCCAGCACCACAAGGGCGGAAGGAATGTGTCTTCACATACTAATTGTCAGCTTAACGACCACTTTTTCATGCTGGTTAATTCCAGTCAGACGAGGTGAGCATTGCTGCACATCATTCCCTCCCCACCCTGACGTGTTTTACTCCCACGTTCCCCATCCAATGGTAAGCGGATCGTGACCCGGATGCCAATGTGAACCGTTTAGGGCCCATTGGCGATTCCGTTTGATTCTGGCGTAGTGCCGTTGCCTGTGTCTCCTTCCTGACAGACAATCGAGTTAACTCGTAGATTATTATTGAGACAACGTCATGATTTCATAGGTCACAGACCCCATCAGGTAACCTCTTGTACCGAGAGGCATTACAATTAAATCTCCAGGGGCCATACCGCTGTCTCCCAGTAAACAACTGACGCTGGTTGAATAATTGACAATGCAACATATTGCTTATCTTCCCCAAATCAAATTACTTGCTATGCCACCATTAAGTCTACTGCATGCAGCAATAGGAGCAGAACATCAATCAAAAGTCTGAATCCTCCTTTTAATTCTAAAAAACAAATGCATGCTCCCCTCTGCATACTGATAGACTGTAGCTAATATATGACAAATCATTTCTCCTCAAAGACAACGTGATGCAATTACATTAGGGATGAAACAAGCAACACATTTTGAATATGACACACTTAACAAATCAAGTAGGCAAGTCTCCTAAAACAATGACAAGTGCAGAAATGTTGATAGAATGTGCCTTATTACCCTTCATAAATGCCAATCATTCCAACAATATGACCCTCAGAAAACCTTCACCAACTTTCAGGGGCTAAACTGTAGGGCAGTTTCTATTTGAACGTTTGAAACATTTTCAGCACTGCAACTACAAGACTGGCAACTTAGCCTACCTAAGATTCCTCGGTTAGATATGGGTAATTGGCCAGTGAGAGAGGGGAAAGATCTGATTGCCATTACTGACCTTTTCAGCTTTTATTTGGGACCTTTCAAAATGTCACCCAGCTATCGATACAAACCCCATTCCTGCCAGTGATTTAATCAGCAAAAAAGTCTGCATTGTTATCTGAAATGCATCAGAACATATTGAATACATTAGAACCGGCAACGGTAAACATTCAGTACAAATCAGTCACCACACGCCTTACTTGCAGAGGCTTGTTCTTAAGCCAATGTCAAAACAGGGAGAAATAGGGTTTGAAATATTGTTCATATTGCAGCAGAGGCTTAATGAGAGAAAAGAGGGCGGTGGAGGCTATTTTTAACAAGGGGTTTTTAGTTACAATGCTGCAGAGCTGAAGCTGCATGTTTTTTCCCAATCGTGTCTGATGGAAGCAGGCAGTGGAGGAGATCGATTCAGTTCCATTTCATTTTTATTTTTTTTGCTGGTGAATAAGAAACCCAAAACCGGGAAGCAGAGACACTGCATAATGGTGTAGAGCCAACAGTGTCTGGTACCCCTCCTTCACCGGCCCTATGGGCCAACGGCAGGCTGGTGGTGGATTTTTGCCGACCCAGCAGTCCACTGCGGCGGACGCTGTCTGAGAGGGCAGTTTCCCCTAAGTGTGATCAGGGACAGACCATAATGCATTGCGCCAGTGGACCTCTGTCTCGTCACCTCAGGGACGCCACCAGAGGTTAGAACTCGGTCACCTCAGACACCATTGCAATCAATCGCCACGTGCAGAGAACATAATGCAACATGGGATACTACTCTTGCCTACTACACTGTGGCAGCACAGAATGTAGGATGTGATCTCTGGTCATTGGGAAACACTGAACATGGGCTATAACATTACGCAATACTTAAAATAAGCTGTAACCTACAGTATGTAACAGATCATAATTTTACACATACACAAACTGGGCCCAAAATAAAGACTATCATGTAGGCTGTTTTGTCATGTTAATGAGAGCATCCCAACGGCCTGATGGATCATAGTTTGACAAGAGAGCTGGGCGATATGGACAAAAATCCATGTCCCGATAAATTGACAAAATTATCACGATAAGTTTATAACATTAATGTGCACCACAGTTATTTTTGTATATTACCCTTAAAACTACTACTACTGGTTTGATGGTTGTAGCTACCAAATTGTCCCATTAACAATCACCCATATTAGCAAACTTATTTCATTTCAAACGTTAAATTACTCTAGTAAAGGTTCCTTATTGTAGTGAACAATATCTGCAAATGTCCACGATAAGTGGTCGGCATGGAAACCCAGCTCTAGTGTTGAGTAAATAGAAGTACAGTGCCAGTGCAGAGTACGACTGGAAATAGCTGTTTAACTACAATGATGCAGGAACATGTAGTAGATAGTTGAAATCAAGGCTGGGTTTTAGACATTAAAAGGTCCAAATGCTGCTGTTTTTATCTCAATATCAAATCATTTCTGGATAACAACGAAGTACCTTACTGTAATGGTTTTCAATTAAAATGGTCAAAAAGAAACATAAATAGCTTCTTAGCGAAGAGCAATTTCTCAAGCAAAAATTTAGCTAGGACTGTCTGGGAGTGGTTTGAGTGGGGAGGGGAAAACTGAAAATGTGCTGTTATAAGCAAAGAGGTGTGGAACTCTTTCTTATTGGTCTATTAACTAATTTACCGCACGGTGATGTCACCAGGAAGACCAAAACTCCCTCCCACCAAAACAGGCAGACATTTTAGGCGGTCTTTTCGAACAGCTCTTACATTATCATAATTTTCACATGATTATCCCAACCTCAGTGTGGAAATATATATAAAACACAGGAAAATCACGTTTTTGACTGCACTGGGCCTTTAAGAAACCCTAAAACATTAAGACCAATACTTGATGAAAATAACTTATTCTCTCATGGAAATTGATTTTCAAAAAATAGATTTTCAACTAGAAGGCTGAAAGAGCAAAATGTTAAAGCAACAATCTTGTTTCCACATTAATGGCATTACTAAATTGGTTGAAATCAATATTCTATTAATTTTTCTGCTGTCAAGGATGCTTCCTTTTGCATAGATCGATCATAATGTCTGCTCCGAGTATGAGCGCAAAATTATTACCATCAACTGATATATATGCTGCTATTTAATACAATACTATATATATATATATATATATATATATATTATATATATACACACTTACCAAAAAATATATGGGGGATTGGAAATGATGAAGACAATTACATTGATGATAGCCACAATCTTCAATATTAAACCTGTTCTACCCCCAGAAAATAAATAAAAAGATATCTATGCTGATATTTAATACAACCACCCTCATTACCATCAACTGATATCTATGCTGATATTTAATACAACCACCCCCATTACCATCAACTGATATCTATGCTGATATTTAATACAACCACCCCTATTACCATCAACTGATATCTATGCTGATATTTAATACAACCACCCCCATTACCATCAACTGATATCTATGCTGATATTTAATACAACCACCCCCATTACCATCAACTGATATCTATGCTGATATTTAATACAACCACCCCCATTACCATCAACTGATACCTATGCTGATATTTAATACAACCACCCCCATTACCATCAACTGATATCTATGCTGATATTTAATACAACCACCCCCATTACCATCAACTGATATCTATGCTGATATTTTTTTAAATCACATAATCAAAAGAATGTTGGATTATCAAGACTCTTAATGACCTGAATGAAATGAGCCAGATGGATTAAACATAGTGCCAGACTCCCTCCCAATGCCAGACTCCCTCCCAATGCCAGACTCCCTCCCAATGCCAGACTCCCTCCCAATGCCAGAC